TTAAAAATTGGTGGGATGTAGCTTTATTTTTTTTTTAATAGATTATTAAGTACACATGTCCTTATTTTTATAAAGGTTTTTTACCAGTCGGTCCTAATAATTGAATTTATTATGCATTAGGTCCTAAGTTTCTATCTCATGCACCAAGAAGTCCTGTTGTATTTTTTTATCCCGATCTTACCCCTGCTGTTATGCTTTGCATGTTTGGTTTGAATTATGTGGTTCTATTTTATTTCTCTCTCTCTCTCTCTCTCCCCCAAAGGATTTGGGTTTTGAAAGGCGAGCAACAAAAGATTTGGGATGTAGAGATCGTAATCGGTGTAAGAAGGTATTTCATGCACTATTGTGTTGCAAGAGCCATTGATTGCGCCACTGTAATGTTGGGCAGAGATGAAGGGGTCACAGCGTCAATGGTGGTGAGGAAGTTTGTAACGAAAACTCGGCAATTGAACGGTTGTTCATTGGTGTTGGTGAACATGAGAGCTGTCTCTATGACCCTTGGATTTGAAAGAGATGGTGTTAAATCTGAGAGAGATCAATAAAATTGACATAAACGACATGGGTGTGTCGACATTGATGAGTTCAGAGCTATGTACCAGTTAATAATAGATAATCAAGACGAAAAAGAAGACATGAGAGAGGTGTTCAGGGTGTTAGATCAGAACAGTGATGGATTTATCTAGGTTTTTTCAATGTCGATCGGAGCTCCTATCTTGTTTAAACCAGTGATAAATTTATCAGTAAATTTATTGAATATGTTTATTTTTGTATAAAAGTTGATAAACTAAACAGTGATAAATTTATCATTTGTAATGGTAATTTTTCTTTTTACAAACAGTCAGTGATAAATTATCATTGAATCTGACATCGTCGTTGCTACTATCTTCCTCTATAAATTTATCATTTGTAATGGTGATGATTAAATTTTCCTTCTGCATTTTTTTTTTGTTGCAAACAGTCAGTGATAAAAATTTATCACTAAATGTATCTCTGATTTTTTTGTTGGTTTGTAATGGTGATTGCTTCATTTTCCTTATGTAATTTTTTTACAAACAAACAGTGATAAATTTATCATTGAATCTGATTTTTGATTCTTTGTCTTGATCTGTGAATGTGAAAAATAATGAGAACTATTTCCTGGTAATGGCTTCTAGTCTCTCTCCTTCATTCTCTTCATCAATTTTCTTCTCATTTTCTTTTGTTGCCACTAGATCTGAGGAGGAGGAGGTGGTGGTAATAGTGACGTACTTGAGATGAAAAATGGATAAAAAAATATTGTCGGAAGTCGGAGGATAGTGGTAACAGTGGAAGTTGTCGGAGGTGATCATCAGAGGTCACCAAAGATTATTGCTGGCGATCAAAAATGATTGACAACAACTGAAAAGGGTGATGGTAGGTCATGGCTATGATATGTGCACAAAATAGAGAAGTCAAACGTGTGAGTTATCAGGAGTAAAATGAAAAGGTTAATTAAATTATTTTAAAACAGAATCTCATGAATATTAAGTCCGGTCCGAAAGACCGGCAGTAACTCCGCTTTCTTATAAAGCCTAGGTCCAAGTTCATAAATTTCTATTGGTCCATAGCCTGGGCTAAAGGTAGCCTATCTTATATTTCTTTGGTCAAGACCGACTCATGGACTTTAAAATATATGGATTTCTGAGGTCCATGTCGGATTTGGCCTATATGACCCCAATCATAAAATAAAATTAAAAACATAAACCAACACAAATTTCAAAGTGCATCACAACAATCAACATTGCATATTCAATTATGCAAAATTAAATTTTTTTTTTTATTAAAATACATAAATACATAAATTAATTGATTATGCTATTAGAAGTTGTGCTTATTTTTAATCTCATAAAAATATGATTACTAGTTTTATAGTTTGCATGCTATTCACTTAGGGGTGTTTGGTATCATTTACGTTTTCAGTTTTCTATTTATATTTACAAAAATTTTAAAAACTCAAATAAAAATTTATTTGATAAAATTTTTGATTTATAAATCAATGATCTCAGTTTATAAATTTAGCCAAAAAATAAAAACATAAAAAATGTGTTTTTATTTTGAGTTTTCAGTTTTTTTTTTTTACCACCCAACACTAGCCACCACCCGCTACCATTTTCCACCACTATCTTCCACTATCACCACCCACCACCCCACCACCACCATAAATAAAAATTTTGAATTTACAATATTATTAATAATGCACCTTCATAAGCTCTGGCAGAAAAGATATGTAAAGATAATTTGTTTAAAATAAAAATTTTGCGATTATCATAATATGTCACATAATTAATCAAAACTCCTTTGACAATTGAAATTACTAAGGTTATAGAGATTTTATACCTGATTCCCTTTAAGAATGCTGTTTATGATTTAAATTTATAATTTTTTATGCATCAATGTGAATAACTCTTACAATCTTACTGATATAAGCATAAATTTTACCTTTGAGTCAACTCACCTTAAGTATTTTTTCGTGTAGTAAAATACTTAAATATTATCATATAAAAATATTATAATAGATCATAGTCAAACATCACTTAAAGTATAATTAAAGACCCGGTACATCACCTTAGGCATAACTAAAAACATAAGAAATTAACAAAGACCTTTTCAATTAATAACCAAAATAATACACAATAATTTGTATATTATAGAATTTTTCGTTATTGATATTTTTTCCATAAAAAAATATTTTCATACAAGTGAAATTCGTACTTGTCTTCCATTACCACCCGCCACCGTCACCCACCCACTCACTCGCCACCGCCGCCACCACCCACTCGCTACCACCCACCACCCGCCACCGTCACCCAGCTACCGTCACCCACCCACCCGCTACCACCCACCACTACCAGTTACCCACCACCCACCGTCACCACTTTCCACCACCGTCTTCCGCCGCTACTTGCCACCACTTGCCATTTCTTACTCTATTTTATATTTTTAAATTTTTTAAAACATTTTGTCAATTACCAAACGCGTTTGTAGTTTATGTTTTTCTAAAAATAAACAAAAATCAGTTTATAAAATTTTTGTAAATATAAACTGAAAACGTAAACGTAAACATTACCAAACACACCCTTAGGTTTTGTTTGACATTAGACTAATATAGTCAAAAAGTAAAAAATTCACTATAATTTGTTACATTACTTTCTCTAATTTTTTGTATATTTTTTCATAAAAAATCAAAGAATTAATTAAAATAGTCACTTGCCAAACTACCTCTTGGTTTCTCAATAAATAATCTTATTGTTTGTACTAAAAATGCATACATACATCAAAAAGAAAAGAATAAGAACAATAGAGAGATAAAATAGTAATCGTTGTTTAGTATGTATGGACCTAAAAAATGGGCGTACGGGCTGATTTTAAGGTCATTTGGATGGCCCAGTAGTCAAATGGTCCTTCCATCTAATGAATCAATAGACACCAATTCACTTTAACGTTATTCCATCCGGTCCAAACCCAACTCATATATTTTCAGGCTAACCAATCTTCAAGCCTGGGTCGTGTTAAAGGCTAATGGCCCAGCCTGGCCCAAGATTTAGCATCTAAGGGATTTTCTTGAGATTAAGAAGTTTACCAAAAATCGAAATGATTAATAATTTCAAGACATTTGATTGGTCTGTTCAATTTTAACAAATTTTAAATTATTCAAAATTGTGATTAAAATTCAATGGTAGAAATCAATGTGAATTTTTGTATCATTTGGTTTGTGTCAATATTTTGCTCTCACCAAGGAAGCTTCATTTGTTAAAAAATGCAATTAGGACACTAAAAAACAGATGCTTATATTAGCTTATAAACAATGTAGATTAAACAAAGTCAAATGCAGAAATTATTGAGTGATCTAAAAACTAAGGTAAGTTGGAGTTCTAATTGTTCATTGATTGATGAATAATCTGACGAATGAACAATAATGTCTTAACATGACTTCACTAATAAAGGATTTCCCCAATATGAAAAGAATGATAGCATCACGTAATGCTATCCTTATAACAAATTATAATTTCTCGATCAAACGAAAAAACTTAGCTCTTTATTTATGTTATGCGACGTGGACTATAGATATTAAGCACCATTATTCATTTTATAGAAGATTTTCTAAGCATATTCCTACACATGGACATGGGCGCTTTTGCTATGTTAGATGACATTTATTTTTTGAGATATTTGGTGAAAGGCCATTTAATAATAAAATTTTAGAAAAATTATATATATACACTTTTGTAACAAATTAAAATTTTAATTTTTTATCTTAACCTTGAAGCTGCGACCATAGTTTTGGGTAAAAGATTTTATCAATCTTGCAGAAGCATGGGCTGTCAATGTCGCTAGTTCTTTGCCAATAGATTGTGCAATTGGCTTTGCATTAAAAACTGAATGAGATTAGGCCCATTTGGGATAGGTTATTTTAACTTAAAAATTTAAAATTATCATATTATTTTTTTTTTTTTTTATAAACATCTTTTTATAATAAAAAAATTAATTAAAAGTCATTTTCAAACTAATAAAGTTGACAAGTCAAGACTTATTTTGAGGGGAGAGAGAATTATTGAAATGATTAATAATCAGACTTGTCGGAGTTAAGATGTATAAATTAAGCAACATGTGATAGCATAATAGGTGTTGTGCGGGGGTGAAATTGGGGACGGAAGATCTGAATCTCAAAAGTGTTAGGAAAATTATATTTTTCATTTGTTTAATTTGGCCTAAATTTTTTATTTAGTTTATATTATTTTAATTTGAACAATTTAATTTTTACATTTTAAGTTCAATTTCAATTTAATTATTTCTTCTAAATTTTCATTTTCATTATTATTATTATTATTGTGTATATACCTCATAAGATTGACAAATATTCTAAAGTCTTTTAAATTTTTATCTTAAATAGAATAATCAAATTAAAATTAGATTTAAAACATATAGAGGTTAAATTATTTAATTTAAAACAATAAATTAAAAAGTGAAATTTAAATCAAAATGTTGTGTGCACCATTCATCAGATTTGGAGAACGACGCCGTCTGTCGGCCAAAAGGTCCATGTAATGCGACGTCGTCGTTGCCATTTGGTTCATCGTCGCTTCAAAGGGGCCTGTTATCTGTAACTGACTTTGCAGCTTCAGAGGAACCCAATTGCAAAGGTAAAATCTCTCTCTGTCTCTCTCTCTCCCTCTCTCTCTATATATGTATATACACTCTGATAGATTTTCAGCGATCTGTTGTAGAGTGACACAAACAATCTTTGTGATGATTTCTTACATTAATTCTATAATCTTATCTGTAAGATCTACTTTTTTGGTGCTAATTTGATTGTTGCTCTCAGTTCAATTGATTTGTCAGATACACCAAGATTGAAGGGAAAAAAAATTTGCAAGACTCTCTTAAGATTAAAACAAGTTACAAGAAAATTTGAATTGATATGAGAAAATCCATTTGATTCGATGAGAAAAATGGCTACTTTGTTGCATACTGCTCATAGGGCATGGGTTAAATAGCAGAAAACAATGGGTATATAAATGGCTTTATTAGTTCAGCTTTGGTTCTTTCTAGAGGAAGATAGTGATTGCTAGGTTATTAATCTTATCACTAACATTGATTGCTAGTTTTTTGTTCTGCTTGATTGGATGTCATGTGGGGTATTGGAATTGGGTCACTTGATTTTTTTTTTTTTAAGGTTGTATTTGGATTTTAGATTTGTGTTTCAGAAAAGAAAAGAGAAGGGAATAAAAAAAAATTACTAGGATAGACTGGAAAGAGTTTTTTTAATTTTTTTTTTCGTACTTCATTCACTTTGATTGTTTTTCATTTCACAAATCCAATATCCAAACACAGCATTAGTTGTTAAACTATTGGACATGCTTTCTTCACTTATGAAGATGCTGATAATCTTATATACATATATTGTTATGATACTGTAATTTCTAGCAAAGCAGATACTGGATCATTCCATAGGTCCTACTTATAAAGTTGTCTTTTCTTTTTTGAAATCCTCGAGTTTGAGGTTTAAATGACTGGACTAATTATCCGTGGGTGTTTTTTGTTATTGTGAATAATGAATGATACTTTTTTTGGAGGAAAGACTTAGTTCCATTGTAGATTAATAATAATTCCCTGTCTACTTATTAATAATGTATATCCTTCTGGTACGATGATAAATCTTCTAGTAAGATATGGATGACCTTATGCATTGTTTGTGTTTTTTAAAATATGATCACGTTAATGTGTGTTCAGATGAACTGATGATTCAGTATGTTTCATGTAACCGTAAAACCAATAAGCCAAATGATACATATTTTCATTCTCAAACTTTGTATAATAATTGAAATAATGGGCGTCGTGGTTGATATTGAAGAGAGAAGAAAAGGAGAAAGGGAAGAGCAGTAGGAGCAACCATTGGAGCCATGGTGAAACTCTTCGATGCTCACTGTCACCTCCAAGACCCAAGAATCTTTAACAAGGTCCCTCAACTAATTAGAACAGCTGTTGACACTGGCATAGTTTGTTTTGCTGTCAATGGGATCACTGAGAAAGACTGGCATTTGGTCAAGCAGATGAGTGAGTCCTATCCTAGCGTAATACCGTGCTTTGGGCTCCATCCCTGGTTTGTCACCGAGAGGACTCCCAATTGGTTGAGCACATTGAAAGAATTCTTTGAGTCTACCCCGTCTGCTGCGGTTGGAGAGATTGGCCTCGACAAAGGTTCACGGGGAAGAGAGATCGATTTCACAGATCAGATTGAAGTTTTCAGGCAACAGCTTGAACTTGCCAAAGAGTTGAAAAGACCAGCATCGGTCCATTGTGTTCGTGCCTTTGGTGATCTTCTTCAGATAATGAAATCTGTGGGGCCTTTCCCTGATGGAGTAATTCTGCATTCTTTCTTGGGTTCTGCTGAGATGGTTCCTGAATTTTCCAAGCTTGGTGCATACTTTTCGTTCTCTGGGTTCCTAATGTCCATGAAAGAAAGTAAGGCAAAGAAAATGTTGAAGTCAGTACCTGCCGAAAGAATCTTACTGGAGACAGATGCACCCGATGCCCTACCGAAATCAAATAATTTTGATTCCCTGTTTCCGATTGAAGGAGATGATTCTCTTCCTGCTGGATTTCAGATTCAGGGAGAAGATTCTACTTCAAATTGTTGCAGCCCATCTCAAAATCAGTCCCAAGATGCAAGAGATGCATCGGCACAGCCAAAAGAAACACTTAATCATCCAGCTAACATCCATTATGTGCTCAAATATGTTGCGTCTTTGCTTGAGATGAGTGAAGAAGAACTAGCAGACTTGAGCTACAGAAATGCACTACACTTGTTCTCTTACAAAGGTTCCAAAGTGCTACTGGAAGGTTAGTTTAGTTGTGCTTGTTTGTTGTGAGTTCATACATGGCACCATTTCTCATTTCAAGTAAATTGTTTATATGTAATATTTGCTTCATAAAGTGCAGTACATGCCTGCAGCTACTTATGACTCATGAGTTACAATCTTGTTAATAATTCTACACTGTATGTGCATTTTCTGTTTTTGATCATTTGTGTGTCAATAGTGTCGAGAAAATCCAAACCAACCCATCCCTTCAAGTGCCTAACACCCGAGCATAAATCTCCAAAACTGTCATTTGTCAGTCATCATTTTATTGTGAATACTTTTTTTTTTTTTTTTTTTCTTTTTTTATATGTTATAGAAGAGCTCCTTAACCTCAAGGGGTTGACCTGATGGCAAGGCCTTGGGTTTTGGGTTGTGCTCCCTCCAAGATTCAGTATCGAAACCTCTTAGGTGTTAAGAATTTTTTGGGGTCATCGACTGGGGGAAACCTTGAATTAACCGTGGTGCACTTATGGGAAACTCTTTGCCGAGGGCCTGTGCACTCCTGAGAATTAGTTGGACTTTGATCCGGACACCCCATGTCAATAAAAAAAAAAAAAATTTAAATTGTTGTAGAAGGGCTCCTTATCCAACCTAAAAGTGAGCCCAAACAAGATTTGGGGGTGAATCAGGCAGTTACTGGTTAGGGACTTGGTATATTCACCAAGATTGTGGATTAAGTTGGTCTAAAATCATTTAGATTTAAGAATCAGAACCTTATAATCTTTGAAAAATCTAGAAATCTCCTAGATGTTGATTTGTGATTATGTATCAATTTTAAGCAGTATATAACAACCCTAATCAAACAATCAAGACAAATCGACACAATGATTTTAACGTGGAAAAATCACAATTGGACACCTCCAACTGTGATTAAAAAACCACGGGCAACCGCCACAAAACAATCCACTAAGAAGATTTAAATGAATTACATAGGTATACTCTCAATTACCTAGCGAATCCACGCCTAATTGAACCAACCTCTATGTGCCTCTTCCAACCCCGTCTTCACCTCGGAATTGTCTTTACGGTGAGCCACTCCAGAATCCACCGAAGCTTCAGGCTCGAATTCTTCAGAATCCACCAAAGAACAACTCTCTCTCTCTTGTGTATAACAAACAAAACCTTTGATGTACTCTCTTTAAACCATGAGTTGAATACTCAATAAAACATCAAAGAAAACTAACAAAATATTCCCAGATATAAACCTTAAGAACCAAAAAGAAGATCTGGAGGAATTATCTTAGATTTGGAAGAAAACCAACTATTTATAGAAAACCAAAGTAATCCTAGTTTTGGAAGAAAACCAACTCCTATAGAAATCCGGATTTTGAAGCTCGCTCGAGCGAAGCTTCTCTCGCTCGAGCGAGAACCTTAACTTTCGTGATTTCTACTAGTGCCTTGGCTCGAGCGACGAATCCTTGGCTCGAGCGAGCAATCAACTCTTTCAGGTTTTTGTATGGACGCAATCCTTAGCTCGAGCGAGAACTCCTTGGCTCGAGCGAACTTCGCTCGAGCGAGCATTCCTTGGCTCGTGCGAACATGGGCGGACATGCAATTTTGAATGCAATTTTGCAATTTGCGGACATGCAATTTTGACATACAGCTCGACCCCCGTCATAATCAGCGAAGTGGCAATCTTGAAAGCATTAACATCACAAACTTCTCTGAACAGCACAATTCGGGTTGGATTCGCATCTAATAAACTCATAGCCTCACTGAAATAAAAGTGTGAAAATAAATACAACTGAAAGAAATTTTGTCAAACGGGGTTGCCAATAATAAAAGCCTAACAATCTTAAATTCACACCTATGCATAACTAATTCCCAGTTAGAGAAATTGGTTTAATTTTCACAAATTGAAATAGTCCTTCCCCATTTTTTCCTTTAATTTCTAGCCAAGACACTAAGATTATTTCTTTTCAATTGATGTTGTGATAAGTAATATTTTACAAATTGGTAATTTTTGTGAAATCAAAATCGAACACTTTTTAAATAGATTATTTTATAATCTTGACCATTAAATAGTAAAAATAGTAAATATTTGGTACTAATTGCGTGAATGTCTTTCATCATATTACTTCATGAGTAATAAAGGATATTAGGAATTTTCTTATGCTTTATATTAGATATTATTTCCTTATTGGGAAAATCATATATCTGTAAGTTTCTCATTATTAGTGCAGTATAGATAATAGATAAATTTGATGTCTTTTAATTCCGTATACTAATAGTTTTTAAAGTGTCTCACTAATATTGATCCTTAGAGGGTCAGCTCTATCTTTAAATGCCCTAAGCATGTAAATTTTTCTATATTCATATTTAAAATTGGAATGTTAATGAATATATCCTTACTAGAAAAGAATATTATGTTTATTAAGTATCAGCTTTAATTATAACTAAATACTAAAGAAAATAAACAAATATGCCATGGAAACATAGTAAAGTAGCAATTATAGAATTCAATATTTTCAAGAACAGTAGGCCTATATATAAAGAAGAAAAAAATATTGTAGTAATTTGGCTCGATAAGTTTAGGTTTCTATTCATCTCCACAATGAGTAAACGAAAACTTGTAAACGAGGCAGAGTGGTTAACATTGAAAATTGTAGATGGTGGCCAAATTAGCAAACTTTCTTTTCCTGTCGACCAAGTAAATGACTACGTCCTCAAAAAGTTGAAGCAATCTCAACGCAATATATTGGATCTTGGTGGTGATGTTGATCTCAAGTTAGTGAATTTCTACACTAACAAGTCTTATGATGTGGGTGTTTGGGAAGTGAGTTTTTTTTGTTAGTTTTTTTAGTTGTACGATATTATTGGAGAATTTTTTTTTTATGTTTGGGAAGATAGTTGGATTTTTTTGTAGTTGGATGTGATGTTTGTGAGAGAAAAAATGAAATGATCATGGGATTTGATGTGATATTTTGTTTGGATTGATTTTTTTTGGTTTTGTAAAACATTTGTCTTGTAATGAAATTTTTTTAAAAAAAAAAACCTAAAAACCAAATTGCCAAACACCGCCAGATGAAATAAAGTTAGAAATTACCAGAAATTAGAAGGGAGAGACACTTTTACTTTGATGAAATAAAGTTTAAACCAGGGCCAGAGATTAAAATGCGATATGATAATCAGTCCCTTCAGTTCAACCTTGCCCAAAATAAAGACTTGAAACCAGGAAAAAGACATAGCATTGCAGTTAGGCACCAAATGAAATTAATCCATTTAAAAATGTTTTACCCTATATAAAAAATAAAAAAACATGTGGTCCATTTTGGTTCCTCAACCAATAAAATCAAAGGTCTTGGTTTGGATGTTAAATTTTTCTCCAATCCTGACCCACGACTGTTATTATATATATTGTTTGTTCCCGGTTAAAAAAATTAAAGAAAATCAATCCATCATTTGAAAGAAAAAAAAAAAAAAAAAATTAATGACACAGAAATCGAAATGATATAAAAAAAATAATAATAATTAAAATAAAATAAAAACAGAGAGTTGAAACGGCATAAACACAAAAATCTTGATAACAGGCAGCCTTTTGTTCTCCAAAGTGGAACAATGTAAACCAAGATTAGCAAATGTCAAATTTAAACAAACAACACAATTCATCATCCTATTACAGAAAGCTAATGATGAGATACAGAATCATATCCATTTTAATCAGAAGAATCCAAGGTATCATCATCATCATCATCATCATGGAACAAGTAGTATTTTCCCAATATGCTTGCTACTTTCCACAAGCTGGTGAGCATCCGCTGCTTCCGACAATGGAAGATACTTATAAACAACCGGTTTCACCTTCCCAGCCATGATTGCCGGCCAAACGTTCTTCTCCACTTCCCGCACAATCACTGCTTTGTTTTCTGGACTTCTGTTTCGCAAGCCAGCCGCTGCATATGGGAAATTCCAACTTTTTTTGGTAAAACTAGCAAAAAAGTATATATCAATCTAAGGCTACTCCCTAACATCCAAAATCAGTGGAAAAAAATAAAAAAATAAAAACAAAAACAAGAAGAAGAAGAAGAAGAAGAAGAAGGACGTTATTGTAAGAGTGCATTATCTGATATATCTACCCATCCCGTGATTCGGAATCAATAGACCCCATCATCAACATATGGAAACCAACACGTATGGGAGTGATTTCTCAACTACAAGAGAAAGCACTACTGATTTTGATGGAGTTAAAAAATACAGGCATTTATGAGTTCAGTGTGAAAATTGTTATGGGTGATGGGTTCACTTCACTGCTCCTTCGAGGATGGAGCAACAGAAGTTTTGAGAATTCAAGAAAATGTCATGGCAAAGCGAGCTGTTTATCATTATGATGGGTGAGATTCTTTAGCTTGTCTTTATTAGTATGAATCAATGAAATGATAGAATCTATATAAATTTCAATTCAATACCATATTAAAAAGAAAAAAGAGCCTGTATTGAAAGTCCAAATATATATTTTTCTAATGTTCAAATGCAGTGCTTGCACATAAAGCTATCCCTCTGAAATATTCCATGAAACCAATTTGATTCTCTTTTTCACAAATATTTTAATTTTTAGGTGCACATATATATATATATATTGTTGATAAAATATGAAAAAGTTCACTAAAGACAAAAAAATAAAAAATAAAAACTCAAATAATTTTAATATGTTAAACCAAACAGAGTGATTCATATAAATAGAGAAAAGGGCTTCAGAACATACCTTGCACTGTGAGGCGCCTCGTAATCAAACCAACAAGATTTACTTCTGTTACTGCTCCACCCATAAACCCAATAATAAAAAGTCTCCCATCAACATTTAGGCTGTCAATGTTTCGCTGAAAGTAGGCTCCTCCCATATTATCCAGTATAACATCAACACCTGCCATCAAACATCTTGAGGTTAGATTTTCTAGAGCTGAATCAAATCGATGTGATACGAGAAATTGTCTAAATGTCTTTTTTAGCTTTCAAGAAAATGAAAATATTGCATCAAGACCAGCAATTCCAAGTGAAACCAAAAATCACAGATCAAAATTAAGATGGCAGGGTGTAAGAAAAACTGATGTATTATTGATTTATGTATGATTGATTTAGATTACAATTACAAGATTCCTATATATAGAAGAAAATGTGGTAGTAGGTGTAGGATAGTGGAGGTGGTAGGTGAAGTGGGTGCTAGTGGAGATGGTAGGTGGAGGAGCAAATTGGTAAATTCTAACAGCCCCCCGCAAACTCAAGGAGGATAGAAACTAACCAACTTGAGTTTGGAGAGAGGAACAAAAACAAGAAAATACATAAAAATAAAAATAAAGAATAGGAGACACTGTATGGTCGTGTCAGACCGTTGTAGAAGACAGTTTAGGGGGTCATGTCGGACCGTTGTAGAAGACAGTTTATGGGGTCATGTCGGACCGTTGTAGAAGACAGTTTATGGGGTCATGTCGGACCGTGGTAGAAGACAATGTTGTGACAGTTTACGGAGTCTTGCTGGACCCTTGTAGAAACTAACCGAAATCAATGGCGTGACAGTTTACAGAGTCTTGTCGGACCCATGAAGGAGCTAACCGGAATCAATGTCGGGACAGTTGACAGAGTCTTGTCGGACCCTTAAAAAATGCACCCTCAAAAGGTGTGCCCAATTTTTCAAAAGGCGTGCCATCAAAAGGCGCGCTCACGTCATCAAAAGACGTGCCCGACAGAAAGCGTCGAGCCATCAAAAGGGGCGCCTGACACGCGGCGATGCACGTGATTGACAGAGCGCGTGTCGGCCTCGTCGTCTCTGTCTTTATAAACCAAAGCGAAGTCTGAGGCTTGGAAGCATAACAAACCAGTTGAAACCTCTTCGTTCTCTGTAACATGCTGTAACCAACCCTTCTCTGAAACACTCAGCAACATGGCCTCTTCTTCTCGTCCAGCTACCCAGAACATGGCCTCCTCGTCCCGTGGTCTGCTCACGCTCTTTCCAGAACTGAACGAGCCCACAAGAGAAATAACTGGTGCGGTGGCCAGTGAACCTCAACCAAACACCTCTGGTTTTGCTCCATTGAACTTTCCGATGCGGTCGGTGGAGCAAAAAATGGCGATGCAAACTGATATTGAGGCCAATCAGTATACTCTGAAGTCATGTGTGGAAACCATGACGGCGGTCACAAACTTGTCGCACCGGCTGCAGAGCAGGACAAATGAGGTGCAACAGTTAAACTCCCAGCTGGCTCTGCTCCAACGCATGTATAAGGATGCGCGAGCAGAGATAAGTGTGCTGAAGGCAGAAAAAAAGGAGCTGAAGCGGAGGCCACCGTGATGTCGATTTGGAGGGCCGCCATATGCTGCAGTGGAGGAGTATGGGGGAGTGAACGTGCTCGGCGGCGTGGAAAACACAGAGGCAGCACCGTCAAGGACCGTCCAAGACGGAGGCAAGAAGAAGAGACCGGCGGCAGAGTAGAGAAGAAAAAATCCCACTGTTCCGAGTGGTGTTGGTTTGGTTGTGTTTTTTTGTTTGTTTGTTTGTTTTTTTTTTTTTTGTGTAAAATGGTGATCGGGGGGAGCCCCGACATGAATAAAAGGAGTTTGGGGTGCAGTTTCTGCCTCTGTGTGTTTTGTTTGTTTGTTTGTTTGTTTTTTTTTTTTTTTTTTTTAAGAAAAGGAAAAAGGAAGATAAAAGAAAAGAAATAAAATTGGGAAAAGTGGGATCAGCAGAGATAAGTGTGTATCTGGGTTGTTGGTTTGAAAAGAAAAGAAAATAAAGGTGAAGAGAAGTATGGGTAATATAGTATAATAAAAAAAAAAAGAGAGATATATATATAGATATAAAATAAAAAAAAAAGGTGGGTAAAATAAAATAATGATGATGGGTGTGCAAACTTTCGGTTACTTTGCAAAAGATGGAATAAAATAAAGATAAAAAAAGAAAAGAAAGTGGAGTGCATTGATTATTTAATATAATAATAATAGTAATAAAAAAATAAAAATTAGACCACTTGGAGAATGTAATACCTCCTTTGCAGACCACTTGGAGAGAGAACATACCTCGAGCTCTCATAGATGTCCAATTCACTCAGTTTTGCAGAGTCCCGAAAATTCTCTTCTTTGGTCCCGTTTTCAGGAGACCTAATGATATGGTTTTCGTTTTTGAAATGACACCGTTACTGCCGATAGGCAGGTTTCCATTGCCAGAAGCTGGAGCACTTAAAGCACGACAAAGAAGTTGCTGCTGCGGAAGGTAAAGAAGGTGCTGAATTTCGACGAGTAGGGGTCGATGGGCGAGATTGAAGGGCGAGTCACTGAACTGCTTCTGATTGGTCTTGAGTGATGGTTGTTCTCTGATTGTGACACTGAAAGCCTTGAAGCCTTAGTTGTAGAAACTGATCTAACCGTGGAACTGCTTCTTGGAGCAGCTGACGGTGGTTGAGACTCACTTCCATTCAATGAAGGAAAAAAAGGAGTTCCAGGAGGAGTGAGAAGCCAATCATAGTCATGCTTTCCTCCTTTGGCCGATGACAATAGATCATCCATTCCACTCTTAGCCAATTTTGCTGATCCAACTGAAAGTTTCCCCAATTTCACCAAAACGTCAGATTCATCGGAGGAAGCGACGGAGAGGCTCCGGCGATTCCTAGAGAATAAATCCAAGTTCTCGTCGGCATCTCTGGACATTCCGGTGAGGCTAAGACCTCGACGGTGCTGAGTTCCAGCCGGAATATTCCTCCCGCCGATCATAGATTCCTTCAAATTCCGATTCATATCTACAAATGCGGCTCCAAAAACATCTCCAAAAGCAAAATATTGTGTGGAGAGAGAGAAAAGTAGAAGAAGATGGCAGAGACGGAGCTTTTTTGTGTATTTTACGTCATCGAACTAGAGAGAGAGAGAGAGAGAGATTTGAATTGGTTGAGATCCGGCGGGCGGTCAAGGCAAGGTTGCCGCCCGCCGGAAGGCGAAGAACACTAAAATCTTTATTCACTTCACTGCTCCTTCGAGGATGGAGCAACAGAAGTTTTGAGAATTCAAGAAAATGTCATGGCAAAGCGAGCTGTTTATCATTATGATGGGTGAGATTCTTTAGCTTGTCTTTATTAGTATGAATCAATGAAATGATAGAATCTATATAAATTTCAATTCAATACCATATTAAAAAGAAAAAAGAGCCTGTATTGAAAGTCCAAATATATATTTTTCTAATGTTCAAATGCAGTGCTTGCACATAAAGCTATCCCTCTGAAATATTCCATGAAACCAATTTGATTCTCTTTTTCACAAATATTTTAATTTTTAGGTGCATATATATATATATATTGTTGATAAAATATGAAAAAGTTCATTAAAGACAAAAAAAAAAAAAATAAAAACTCAAATAATTTTAATATGTTAAACCAAACAGAGTGATTCATATAAATAGAGAAAAGGGCTTCAGAACATACCTTGCACTGTGAGGCGCCTCGTAATCAAACCAACAAGATTTACTTCTGTTACTGCTCCACCCATAAACCCAATAATAAAAAGTCTCCCATCAACATTTAGGCTGTCAATGTTTCGCTGAAAGTAGGCTCCTCCCATATTATCCAGTATAACATCAACACCTGCCATCAAACATCTTGAGGTTAGATTTTCTAGAGCTGAATCAAATCGATGTGATACGAGAAATTGTCTAAATGTCTTTTTAGCTTTCAAGAAAATGAAAATATTGCATCAAGACCAGCAATTCCAAGTGAAACCAAAAATCACAGATCAAAATTAAGATGGCAGGGACTAGGAAGAACACACCTTTCCCTTGTGTCTCTTCCTTCACACGTGCAACGAAATCTTCAGTCTTGTAGTTGATGCATACATCGGCTCCAAGATCCTTGCAAGCAGCTAATTTTTCATTGCTTCCTGATGAACACAAGCATAAATGATTAGTAGGATCCAACAAATGCCATGCCTCAAACGAGTTGAATAAGATATAAAATGTGTTGTGCTACTAAACCTGCTGTGACAAACACTTTGGCTCCTTGGTATTTGGCTATCTGTATTGCAAATGTACCAATTCCACTAGAGCCCCCATGAATCTGAAATTTTATGAGTCCTCTGTTAATAGAGTTGATTCAGACTTCAAATTAAGATTGGATAGCAACCATTATACATAAGAGCAGAGAAGAAGTCCCCAATTTAAACAAACGATTTTGTAACATTGGTTGTCTTCATTTGAACAATTTAAATAATTTTGTCATGGTTTCAGTTTTCTCTTTGCTCCATCTTTCCAATAATCAAATGTACATAACTCTGGAAGTAAAAACTCAGAATGGGATACAAGACCCTTCTGTAGTCCATAAGTAAGACTAGCATTTTCTCAGTACTCTAAGAACGTACAATACTTCAAACCTTAACCTGACAATTGTCACATATTTGATGAAAAAAAATAAAAAAAATTCTTCATTACTAGTTCTTGTCTGGTCTTGGAATTACTGTGATGAAGTATAATGTACAGAGAAACTGCTCAAGCCTAACAAAATCATAAAAAGTGGTTCTCCTGAAAACATAGAATGGGGTTGTAAGTTATACCAGAAATGTTTCTCCTGCAGATAGCCGGCTCATCATAAAGACAGTCGACCAAACAGTGCATGCCACTTCAGGGAAACTGGCAGCATCTTTAAGAGAGACACCAGATGGAACTGGAAGAACTTGATTTGCTGGAACAGCCACTTTCTCAGCATATCCTCCACCACTAAGAAGAGCACATACCTGCATCACTCTCTTCATATTAGTATTTTACTAACAAAACTTTTAAAATTTTCCTTCCAAGAATGTATTTGAAACCTAGTAACCCAAAAGAGCAGTGAGAGCCAATGTTGGTTGATGATGCATGGACCATCATATTAGCTGAATTACAAAGCAGCAAACAATTAAAAAATTTTCTTTCAAGTATCTTGTTTCAAAAAAATTGGATCAGTACTTTGGTGTGAAGCTAAATAATCAACAAACACTAAAAACGGTGCCAAAAAAAAAAAAACTAATGTGTAATTTGAGATGACCGTTGAGCTAATAATTTAATGTGTAACAATTCCAGCATTACAGAATCATAAGGAAAGGTGATTCAGTATCTTCCAGTTTCTGAACCATGTCCAGCTCATATATTGAAATAATTCTGAATATTTGAAAATCACTATCAGGTTAAACAAACTTTTGATAAAATGTTTAATTTTTCAAGAAAACCAACTTAACAAGACTTTGTCCCAATTACTTAGGGCGTTACATGAATTGATTTGATCAAAAGTCCTATCCTTAATCATGTCTTTTCTTATTGCCTCAGCTCAAGTTCACCTAAGGCCTTGTTTGGTAACATACTTTTTTAGAAACTTTTTGGCCTTTTAGCTAAAATGTGATGTAAAAAAAACTAGTATGTTTGGAATGACTTTTTGATTTTTTACGAAAAGATGTGCAAAAGTAGAAAGAAAATGGAGTATTTGATTTTTTGGTATGGATTGTTGACTTTTTAATTTTTTTAGTGACTTTAAACGAGGCCTTAGCGTTCCTCTATTTCTTTTACTACCCTCCACGTAGTTTAAACCACTCCTTGCAAACACATTAATTGGTCTCCGATATACATGATCATACCATCTCAAATAACTTCTTTGCCCATCAAATTTTACTCTATTCCCATCCTTATTTCTGATTTGGCTAAAATGACAATCCATATATTTTGTCTTGTTCCTGCTTAACCTAAATTTCTCTCTATTTCCCTTGCTTTCTTGGCAAAATAAATAAATAATAATAATAATAATAATAACAAAGCAACAAACTAACGACAACACAATTACGAGAGAGATTTTGAAAATTTTCTCATTTCCTTGCTCTCTCAGCATCCAAAAGCAGCATAAATGCAAAACTAATGAAAGCACAATGAGAAGATGTCTTTTCTCACTCAAACTAAAACTTTTAATTACCCAAAATTTAATATTCTCCCTTGTTTTCTCAGTTTTCTGAGCAATTTAACACACAATAATAGAAGAAGATGTCCATGTTTGATCAATCAACACACAACAAAAGAACTAGAAACAAGCAACTTATTAAGTTTCCATTTCCTTCTTTTCCACTCATTTTTTTAGCTCCCAAGCAGATAACAAAACAAGAAATCTACTCATCCCAATCATAACATAAGATTCAAAAACTCAAAATTCTCTCTTTTCCTCCAATTTCTCAGCAACTAAACACACAGGACAAAAGAACAGAACTAATCAATGACAGCAAAATAAAGAAGATTCCTTTTCACTAAAATTAAAACAGTTGAATTCAATTAACCAACTTTTTTTTTTCCTTCCCTTTTTTCCATGTTTTCTTAACAAAACACAGCATAAATTATCAAAAAAACCCAATTTTCTCATTTCTCTCTAATTTAACTAAAAATCAAAATATTAGATTCAAATACCCAATTTTCTCTCTTGCCCTCATCTATCTGAGGTTAGCAACTAAACACACTACAAAAAGAACTAAACCACTATAGGAAACAACCCAGAAAACAACCAATCAAGTATTTTCCCGAGACAAAAAATACCCACATGAAATCAACTAGACTTTTTATTATTATTATTATTATTTAGATTTGATGAAATCAACTAGACTTAAAACAACCCATAAATAACCACATGAAATCAACGAAAACTTAAAACAACCCAGAAACAACCACTCAAATATTTTCCCGAGAAAACAAATACCCACATGAAATCAACGGAACTTGGAGCTTTACCTGATCACCAATTTTCCAGCGAGTGACGTTTCCCCCGACGGCTTCGATGGTTCCAGAACATTCTAGACCCGGGTACGGACTCTCACCTTTTGGTGGTGGGTGCGAGCCTTGGCGCTGAATAGTGTCAGCTCTATTGACTGCTGTGGCTTCGACTCGGATCAGAACTTGGTCGTCTCGAATTTCTGGGCATTCGACTTCTTGTAGTTGAAGAACATCGGGACCTCCTGGAGTGGTTATCACTATGGCCTTCATAGTTGTTGGAGTTCGATTGATTTTATCAGGAATCGGGGAGGTTGGAGAAGAAATTGAATGGTATTTGAGCTGAAGAAGATCATTGGCATTGGCAATCAAAGTGAGGAGTGACTCTGACGAAATTCTAATAAAAAATTATATCAATTGTTAGGTCTATATCTTGGACCTGGATTTGGATGTGCACAATGCACTCGGACAAATTGAGAGAGTTGTTCTTTGTAATTTTAAAATTTAGCACTTCAATTATCGTCATTTTTTTAATATTTCCTCTTTCCCATATCAATTTCATCTAGGTTGTCTATAAATTATTTTATTTTATTTTTTATTTTAGTTATTTTTGCACTTTTTATAAAAAAAAATAATATAAAGAAGTAGAGATAGTGATTTGACAATTTATAATGAATTTTTAACTTTTTAGTTAAAATATATAATTGACAAACGAGAAATAGTCAATTTAAAAACTTGATTGAAAGTTAAAAATTATATTTTTATTTATTTTGAGTCATATCATCATTTTATTTTTTTATTTTGATTATGATATAAGAATTCTTTGATTATATTTTAAGTATTGTTTGGTTATAACTTATTTTTCCAGTTATAAATCTCATATAGGGTTTAGGATTTTAAATTTTGGAGTTTAGTTTTTAAATTTTGGATCTTGGGTCTTAAAATTGGAAAAAATATATTTTTTGAAATAAATTACAAATATTAGGGCCAAAGTGGGAAACTATAAAACTTAAAAGAGCAAAGTACAATTTTTTCATTTTATGCCACGTGCATTTTCTATCCAAAAATGAATGGAGTTAACTTTTGCTAAATTCATCCCAATTTTATTAGATAGATTATCCATTAAAATTTAATTTAAATAACAAAAAAAAAAATTATATATTGAAATGTGAAGTTCATGTATCAATATTTCAAATCTTATATTATAACTCGTCAAATTCAACAAGGGCACACATTAAAAAAATTATTAAATAATTTATAAAATATTTAATAACGCATACGATTTTGATTGTGTCTTCATAAAAAAATGTTTTGATGGTTTGCATTTTGTGGAGGAGTCTGCCAAAATTTTAGTCTTTTTTTTTTTTTTATTTTTTATTTTTTTTTAAAAAATCCAAAATTTTTATTAAAAGTTTTTTTCATCATCAAAATTAAACAACATGATTAACAATCTTTTCCTTTTTGATGATGGCAATATTTGTATGGATTTGACACAAAATAAAAATATATAAAATTATTTGATAATTTTGCAACATAAAATATTTGATAATTTGCAAATTCACATTTTAAAATTAAAACTGATAATTTTCTCCCCTTTGATATCATCAAAATAAAATATGGAGATAGGAAGATTTTAGAGGAAGAAAAAAAAAATGCAGTGATCAAAACAAAAATCAGACAAACACATTTGCGAAAATAATCTAAGATGCAAAAAAAAAGAAGAAGAATAATGGTTCTTATGCCTTGTCGTGATCATTGTGGGGATTTGGGGCATCTCCTGAAAAAATGGTGCATCGGTGCCCAAAATGTTAACAAACAAAAGATTTGATCAGATATGCATCGAGTATTGGATCGGAGGAGTGTATAAAAAGTAACGAAGATGATAGGCAGAGATACGAAATCGTCAAGTGTTGTTAGAGAAAATTTTGTTTTACCTTCTTGTGTAATCATGCCATTCCTTACCTTAGCCATCAATGGTTCCGACATGCATGAGGTGCCTGTAATGCAGGCAAATGAGAGGGTTACCAATGGTGCAGTCACACGTTATTCTTGTAAACAAGAGTCCTAGTGTTGTTGGTAATCAGAATGATATCAATGCTATTAATAATACTATGGCACCTAGTACACAGGCAATGATTGCAGTTTATAATATAGCTCAACGGCTACAAGCAAGAATATAAGAAAATCAGCAATGAAGAGATAATGTGTGCTTGTTAAAACAACAATTAACTAATATTTGTCAAGAGAAAAGAGAGCTAGAAAGGAAAAATTTGTAGTTAGAGAATGCTATGCAGCGGTTATAATGCCAAGACTCACAAAAGTCGAAAATAGAGAGATGCATGTAAAGGAGGCTCATGAAAAGTTGTTAAGAGAAGTGAAACGCAAAAAATCTACAAAGCCTTCTCAACTTGTACATGCAATCGATCACTAGTTTCTCCTTTTAAAATAAAATTGCAAGCATTTCTCTCTAAAAAATTATCTGTCTTTTTCAAATAAATGAGTGAGAGAGAGGCGAAAATAATCATTTTTGTCAAAATAATATAATTAATCGATTTGTCAAAAGATGAATAGTAATTAACCCTATTTTTCAAAAAGTGAATAGTAAAGTTTTTGAAAATATTTAAAATAATATTTAACATATATATTTTAAAAAGATAATATTATTTTATTTAAATAATATTTAACAAATATATATATTTTAAAAAGATAATAATTTGTGTCAAATAATAAAATTGTTACAAATAATATTTTAGACATCATCAAAATTAAATAATATGATTAACAATCTCTCCCTTTTTGATGATGGCAATATTTGTATAGATTTGACACAAAATAAAATTGACAAAATATTTGATAATCCTGCAACATATAATTTTTAAAATCATATTTTTTTCTCCCCCTTTGACATCATCAAAATAAAGATGAAGATAAGAAACAAGCACATTTGATACAATAATCTGAGTGGCCAAAAATAAAATAATAGGCCGTCTGTCTTGTCGGAATCATTATGGGGATTTTGGAGCATCTCGAGCGCAGGAAATATTGACAAACAAAATATTTGAGCAGATATAGCAGATATGCATCGAGTAATGGATCAATAGAGTGTATAAAAGTGACACAGATCAGAGGCAAAGATACGAAATCATCAAGTGTTTGAGAGAAAAAATTGTTTTAGCTTCTTTTGTAATCATGTCATTCCTTACCTTGGCTATCAACGGGTTGGACCTGCATGAGGTGCCTGTAATGCAGGCAAATGAGAGAGTACCAGTGACGCAGGCATATGCTATGCCTGTAAATGAGGGTTCTAGTAGTATTGGCAATCGAAATGATTTCGATGCTATTAATAACACTATGGCTCTTAGTACACAGGCCATGACTGCAGTTTCCAATATGGCGCGACGATTACAAGCAAGAGTACAAGAAAATCAGCAATGGAGAGATGAGGTGTGCTTGTTAAAACAACAAGTAGTGAATATGTGTAAAGAGAAGAAAGAGCTAAAAAGGAAAAATGCACAGTTGGAGAATGCAGTGCATTATTATGCAACGGTGATAATGCCAAGACTCACAGAAATCGAAAATAGAGAGAGACATGTAAAAGAGGCTCATGAAAAATTGTTGAGAGAAGTGAAAAAGAATAAATCTGTGAAGCCTTCTGAAAATTTACATGTAATCGAGTAATATTTTCGTTTTCTGAAATAAAATTTTGAGCATTTCTTCCTTTATTTATTTATTTATGTTATTTTTATTTATTATTATTATTATTATTATTTTATTTTTTTTTAATTCTGTCGTTGCACAAAAAAAATTTATTTGTTGGTGCAGATAAAGAGCATGGCAGATAAGGAGTAAAACAAAATATGTATATATACTCCCCCTAAAATTATGCACAGAATATACACATGCCTTTTTTTTTATATATATATATATTTTTATAATGATTGTTAATCTCAAAATATGAGTCTCCCCCTGAATTAATGCACTAGAAATTTCATAAATTTGAAGAAATAAATTACCAATCTATGACACCAAAGGCCCTTAAGATCTGGCCATAAACAACTACACCAAGTGCACTAGCAAAAAAGGAGAAAATAAAAATAAAAACAAATACTTCAATCAAGGTAGAAGCAACCAATATTAAATCCAAGAAAATTTGGAGCACATATAACAAGTAAAAAAATACAACACAGTGCAACAAAAATTTTAACATGTTGATCGGTGATAACCTTGATGAACGGAAGAAATTGAGACGATTGGGTAGATCGGTGACGAATTTTTGTAGATCGGCAATGGATCTTGATGGATCAGTCACGGATCTTGATGGATCGGTGATGGAACTTGATGAATCGGTGAAGATGGTGATGCAGATTTCGGGTGGAGAAGTGATGGAGTTCGGTGGATTGGTGAGGGATTTGGGTGGATGATGGTAGAGATGAATGTGATGGATGATTTTGTGTATGGTGAAGATGGTTGTAGACGATGGTGAGCATGGAGATGGAGTCGGCTGAGGATGTGAGGAAGAAGGGGAAAGCGAGATACCAAGAGAAAGAGAAAAAGAGAGAGTAAGGGAGAGAGTGGGTGAGAGATAGAGACGGAACGGAAGAGAGAGAGAGAGAGAGAGAGAGAGAGAGAGAGAAATTATATATATAAATATATGTATATTATTATTATTGTTATTATTTTTATAATAATAATTATTATTACAATATTTATTTTATTTAATTATTTTAAAAAAAATCATTTTTTAATATAAACATTATATTGGAGTATTCATCATACCAAGTTCTGTTCTAATATAACAAAATTGTTCTTCATTTAGAGGCTTGGTAAATATGTCAGCTAATTGACAATTTGTAGGCACAAATTCGAGTTCAATGTCACCTTTGAGTACATGATCTCTTAGAAAATGATGCCTTATCTCAATGTGTTTAGTGCGTGAGTGCTGAATAGGATTTTTTGAAAGGTTAATGGCACTTGTGTTGTCACATTTTATTAGAATATGATCATAGTGAAGTCCAAAATCTTGAAGTTGTTGTTTCATCCAAAGCAATTGTGCACAATACCCAGCGGCGGCAATGTATTCTGCTTCAGCAGTTGACAGAGCCACTGAGTTTTGTTTTTTGCAAAACCAAGAAGTGAGTGAGTATCCAAGAAAATGACAAGTGCCACTAGTGCTTTTTCGATCAAGTCTACATCCCGCAAAGTCGACATCTGAGTAACCAAAAAGTTCAAAGGTGGTTCCCTTAGGATACCATATTCCCAAATTTTGAGTGCCGACAAGATATCTGAAAATGCGTTTGACTGCGGTGATGTGTGACTCTTTCGGTGCGGATTGAAAACGTGCACACATACAAACACTAAACATTATGTCGGGCCGACTTGCATAAGATAGAGTAAAGAACTAATCATACCTCGATATTTCTTTTCATCTACAGGTTTACCTTGCTCATCTTTGTCGATTTTTATCGATGTGCTCATTGGAGTTGCTGC